TAGAAACCCAAAAAAGGTTTGGTTAAATAAAAGAATTTTATAATATTAAAAATCTTTTATATTTATCCTTATTTACCACCCATGCCCTTACTAACTCCTCTGAAGCACAGAAAACAAGTCGCATAACCTAACAAGCCGCAGATTCATAACTATCTAACAACGAACCCAACAAACGCTAGCAAAAACAAGCCACACTGGACACAAACTAAGCCAAGGACAAAGGAAGGGGTCCTGGGGACCATGACAAAAACTTTAACTGCCTCTGTCAAGCCACCACCAAGACCCTGACCTCAAGCCAAAACCAACCCAACCGCACAAATCGAGAAACAAAACTGAGTCATAGACAAGGACTAAAGCAAACGGAGAATCTGCCGGAGATGACGACCTAGAAAGTCGAGACCACAAAGGCATAAACCGAATGCATAAGCCTTCCAATGACCAACACCTCTCCGTCGAAGCTAGACACCAAAGAAACCAACAATCTTATCAACTCCACATCTAGATCCAAGAAAACTTCACTTAATACTTTTTACCAATGGCGAGTCCCCGACGATGAGGGACCCTAGAACCACTCCAGCGAAAAAGGATAAAACGTCGAGATCTAGAACCACAGCTTCACAGCCGAGGCGCGAGGAACCGCGACTAGATCTGGCCAGATCAAGTCACCAACTTGGCGAGAACTATGACGGAGCCGAGAGCCACAAAGTGAGATCTCTTGAAGGAGAAATCACACACGGCTTTCCCAGAACGAGACAACGCGATGGAACCACCAGAGCTGCAGCATCCGAACACCACCACGAGCATCAAATCTGGAGAGGAGCTTCACTGCGACACCGACGCAAGCAGTTGAAAAGGTGAACGAGACCATGCAAAGAAAAGAAATGGGGGCCTCTCCCGGCACCGGCGAGGAGTTCCGGCCACCAGAGAGAGAACGGCGGCGAAGAGTCTTGACGGCAGCTGATGCAAACTAGGGCGAACTCGCTCGAAGAGGAGAGAGAGAGCTTCCTTCCCTATGAACATGGACAAGAATTTTACCATTAGTTAGTAAGCAAATTGATGAGATTCAATCTTATCAACCTCTTTTGGAATTTAAGCTTTATAGTTTTATGGACATCGAATATAAAAACATGCCAGAATTAGTATACTTTTAAAAAGAGATATAACACCTCTCCTCCAAAATATTATTTTGATTTAATCGGTTTGAACTATTGACGTCAAA